GGCAACAAGCTCATAGTATGTGATACGGAGCTTCACAATGCTTGCATTTAAGAAGCAGCCTGGTTTCAAACTCCCCAGAGCAGACTTGTTTGTTCTTGTGGCAGGCCATGGTATGTTCAACACTCTTCTCCAGCACCATAGCCCAAAGGCATCAATTCTTGTTCTGTCATCCTTAGTTAATGTCCAGCTCTCTGATGCATAGCAAGTAATGGAGAAGACCTTGGCCTAAATCAGGTGCACCTTAGTGTCTACACTGACATTATTGCTCTTTAGCACCCTGGAGAGGTTCCTGACAGCAGACTTTCCTAAAGCAAATAGTCTTTTGATATCCTGTCTCCTGGTGCCAAGAATGTTGATTGTGGTCCAGTGGTAAAAATCTTCATTTTCTTGATGTTGCTGCAATCCATACTGAAGACTGTAGTCCTTAACCTTCAGCAACAAATGCTTCAGGTCCTCCTCCATTTTGGCAAGCAAAGTTGTGTAATCTGCAAAGCAGAGGTTGTTGATGAGTCTTCCTCAAATCCTGATGCCACATTCCTCATCATAAAGACCAGGCTCTCTGATGATCTGTTCTGCATATAGACTGAAAAGGAATGGAGAAGACAGTACGTATCCCTGACACATTTCTTTCTTGATTTTGAACTATGTAGCATTTCCTCGCTCTGTTCTGGTGACTGCTTCCTAGTCTAAGTATAGTTTTCACATGAATGCAATCAAGGGTTCTGTTTCCTTGTCTTCTCAATGTTAGCCACAATTTGTTGTAACCTATAGTCAACTGCCTGTGTATAGTAAATAAAACACAAATATACATTCTTCCCAGGTACATTTTTATTTCAGCCAAGATCCACTGGACACTGGCAATAATGTTCCTAGGGCTACTGCCTCTTCTAAACCCAGCTTGTATTTCTGGAAGTTCTCCGTTGATGCATTATGACTCTGGTCATTTTTGGATAATCTTCAGCAGGATTTTGCTTGCGTGTGGTATTAGTGATATTGTTCGATAATTTCCACATTCTGCTGAATGAACCTTTTTTTGGAACGGAAATAAATATGAATCTCTTCCAGTTCATGGCACAATCTGGTGAACATGTCAAGGCTGCATCTGTTTGTTGAAATATGTCAACTGCTATGCCATCAATTTCTGGGGCCTTATTTATTGTGAGTTCCTTCAGAGGAACTTGAACTTCCTCCTTTATCACCATTGCCTCTTGGTCATAAGTTATTTGATGAAATTCTTCTTTGTCAGCCAATTCTTTTTAGTACAGTGACCCCTTCCATCTTCTTTTGATGCTTCCTGGATCATTCAATATTCTGCCCATAACATCTTTAAGTATTGCAACTCAAGGCTTGAATTTAGTTTTCTATTCCTTCAGCTTGAGAAATGGCAAGCAAATTTGTCTCTTGGTTTTCTGATTCTAGCTCTTTTGTACATTTTGTAATAATAACTTGCTTTATCTTCCAAGACTGCCTTTTGACATCTGTTCAGCTCCCTAACTTTGGGACTTTTCCCCCTTTGCTTTGGTTTCTTGGGGTTCCAGTGGAATATTCCGTCTCTTCTGACATCCATCTTGTCTTGTCTTCCTCCTCTGTCTTTGTAATAACCTTTCACATCCTTCATGGATATTTTTGGTGTCCTCCCACAGGTCACCTGGGTTTTGCTCATCAGTGTTCAAGGCTTCAAACCTGTTCTTGAAATGTTTTTTTTGGGTTTTTTTTTTTTTCAATTTCATGTAGAATAGACTCAGGGTCACATTTTGGTTCTTATGGACGAGTTGTTATGGAAAGGGTTCATTATATACATGAAAGGCACTTGGAACTGAGTCTGGTAGTCTACTTCGAATTAAACTATATGAAACTGTGAGCTGCATTACTGCCATGGTTATATTCTTCTTGCAGCAAAGGAAATTCTGATACATCAAATTCCCTAATATTCCAAAATACCCTAAATACCCCTAATATTCCAGAGGAGTTTGAGAATGAAAGTGAGTAGGCCTCAAATTCAAGAAAAGTGGATAAAAATTAAAATGTTAAAAAGTGTCTTTCACCTGAGTGACAGATGAAAGGAATAAAGGTGGGGGAGAAGCCAACAAGAAATAGAACCAAAACTATCACAAAAAGACAAAATCACATATTCAAGAGGGAAAAGAAGAAAAGGAAACTAAATCAGAGTGAAAAGGTGGTTATGAGAATGACTGAAAGGAAGGCTGATGAGGAAAAGATGCCAGGGAATAGTACAGAATACCAAAAAGAAGAAGAAAAGATTTTCTTTACAGCTTGAATCCAGTATCAGAAAAGGTAAGAAACCGAAAATAAAACAAAGCAAAATGTTACATTTAGAAACAGAGAAAGGTGAGGCAGACAGAGACTAGAAGACACAAATGATAACAAAAGCAAAGGCCTGCAACCATTGGTAGGCCTCTATCTTCAAGCTATGGGAAGCCTGTTGCGTGCAATCGAGCCAGAACCCACTCATAGTGGACCATCCACTGGGTTTTCAGAGGCAGTAAATACCGTGAGATTGCCCATCTTTCTCCAGCCTTCAGACTTCGTGATTCAAAGCCATGGGATTGCAGCTCAGTTTCTGACAATTGGGCCACCAGAGTTACCTCTCTAATTCTTCCAGGTTCTTTGATCCTAGGTTCCTTGTTTAGACTATTTTAACTTGCTTCTGGGGCAGCCTCAGGCTGGGTCAGAAGTCAGCCATGTGCCTTGTCTGTTCTACAATAGTAAGCCAATCTTATTTCATTCTCACTAACTAGCCATCGTTTTTTTCCAATGAAATTTAACCTTGAATCTTCCTGCTCCAAACATTGAGAAGAGTTAGCGTTTTTTGGTTTTTTTAAAAAACCTCAACTGCGTTTTCTCTCCTTTTTGGTCAATTAAGAACATGAGAAATACATGAAATATAGTACATCCAGGAAATGCCGTTTTTAGGGCTCAATTTCCACTTGGACGCAGGAGAGGGGTTGGACAGTTTAATATCAGCATTTTTTTTCAAACTAGTTTTTTTTTTTCTTTTTAAAATATTATTAAACTGACTGATGCTGAGGAATCAGGAAACCTAAAACGACCCTCTAAAGTGACGACGTGGACGGACTAAAGGAGTGAGTGTCTCCTCAGGACAGGGTGAGTCTAGGCCGCCAGTGCTAGAGTCCCCAAGCCAGACGCGGTGCGCGTTTCCGCCCAGGACTCCGGAGACTGCAGCAGCGCGAGAGGCTCCGCGGGCGGCTCAGGGAGGCGGAGAGGAGACGCGACTCCCGCAGACACGTGACCTCCTCCTCCAGCGCGGCTTCCCGCGACCCAGATCTGTCCCCGGAACCCGCGCCCGCGGGGCGGGCCAGCCGACACGTAGCGACGGCTCCTTTGCCTGCTGTGCCGGTGCTTGTGCATTCTGCGTTCTCTCTGGGGTTTACGTGCCACCAGCAAGAATTAATGTTTTAGGGATCACTGAGGGTCTGGGGGAGATGAAGAGGTAAATACCAGGAATATAAATACTCGGTACAGGCAGGGAACACCTTTGCCCGCGCTCTGTACATACATATATTCACCATCACCCACCCCTCCCACCTTTCACCCCAGCACACCCGAGTAATTGGTAGCTGCGGGGATGGAGACCTGGGAGTCCATAGGACAGCCCTCCCTTGGCCTCCAAAGCCTCTAGCTTCCCTCTGCGGAGAGTGGCGTGGGTAAGCGCATCTCTGACACCTCCGGGTAACTCTCACTAGCAGTGAGTCATCTCCCGGGGTGGCTCTGGGGAAAGGTAGCCTGGCTATGCTTCCCGGTGCCGAGCGTCGCGGCTGCAGGGCGCGCGCGCGCACGGGTTCCCCGCGCAGTGATGTGGCAGCCGCCGCAGGTCGGATCACGTTGCTGGCCCTGTGCTGGTACCCGTTTGAGACAGGATTAAGGAGGGAGGCACTGGAGGTGCCAGCGGTAGTAAACGTGGGCTCTGCACACTCCGGGAGTTTCTTATCACAGGAGGAAAGGGGGGGCCACGGGGAGAAGCCCAGCGCCACCAGAGGCGCAGAGGGGCGGCAGAGTTTGACTGGAAAGTGATAAATGCGGCACTGCTTTTCCACGGTAGCCCCTCTCGTGCCACCATCCTTCCTCCAGAACCCCACCCCCAATCTCCCCGCCGCGTTCCTCTGGGAGCCCTGGAAGCTCCAAACGTCGTCATCTGGTGCTGTGATTAGTGGCACCGCAATTCCGGCTGCTGCGGGAACTTTAGGTGGCCCAGGGACACTGTGCAGCCAAAAGACACTTGGATTGCGACATTCTGATCCAATGACTACATGTTTATTTAAATCCTTCAAGGAGTGGATTTCGAGTTGCCCCTTTTCGAGGCAACCCCCAGTCAGCGCCAAGGGCTTCCCCTAGGCCACTGAGCGATGAATAAACAAGTCTCCAAATGTTCCCTCCGGGACTGAAGTTTACCCACCGCGAATTCTCTTTCTCTTTCCTTTCCCTGGTCCAAACCAACAGCACAGTCGGTGGAAAAGCTAAAAGCCACGTTCACGCTTCTGCACCATAATGACGGACCAGCCCAGGGAGTCTCATTTCCGAGCTGAGAAAGCCCCGGCAGCCCCGAGCCCGTGCGCCCCCGCCCCGCCCCTCCCCCAGCTGACTGCGTCGTCTTTAGGAAGATGAATAGCTTGGCCAAAGTTGTTTTTCCTTTCCGGTGGCCCTGATCAGGTGTCCCCGCCCCCTCCTGCCGCTCGCCTTCCCTCGAGCGCCTCTCCTGACGCCCCCTCCCGGCCGGCCCCTCCTTCCCCGCCCCCCTCCGGGCTGGACCGCGGATGGTACGTTCCGCACGTGAGCTGGATGCTGGTCTGGCCGGCGACGCGCGTGCCCTGTGGCCAAACACTGCCCGGAGTGAGAGCAAACTACCAGCGCAGAGGGGCCAGCGCGAATGTGCGAGTGTGTGAGCGTTTGGTTGTGCCAGAGAGCGAGAGAGCGCGGGGTGGGGGGGACCAACTGCTTCACACTTTCAACGCTGCACTGAAGAGGGAGAGAGCGAGCGAGACTGGAGACGCACAGATCCCCCAAGATCTCCCAAGGCTACCGTCCCACAGATTACAGAGCAGAGACCCAAATATCGAAACAGAGGAAACGGACAGCGGTTGAACATGGACGAAGGAATTCCTCATTTGCAAGAGAGACAGTTACTGGATCATAGAGATTTTATAGGGTAAGGTGCACGCACCCTTGAGATTATCTGTCTAGGCTTCGGTTCAGATTTTTTTTTTTTTCCCTCTTCTCCAGAAAGTGGTATGGAGCGAGAGAGAACAGAGCCCCTCCCGAATGGGGTATCTGATGCTGATTTCTGTTTTGCAGACTGGACTATTCCTCTTTGTATATGTGTAAACCCAAAAGAAGCATGAAACGAGACGACAGTAAGGTACGTGTAAGTTTCTGATGTTCCCCATAACCTGCCTGGATAGTTAATTAGAGCTATTGATTTCACAACCCGCAAACATATCCCAGCCTCTGAGCTTCCCCAACTGTGAATTTTAAGTAGCTTGCTGGATAGTCTCTGGGGGAGATTAAACATCATACCTGAATTTAAATTGCATTCAGATCAGTCCAGAGAAAAAGAGGCTTCTTTAGCATAGTTTATCCTCTATTATGTTGGGGGAGGGGTATTGTTAAATCCATCCAGTAAATGAATGTTTATTGTTTTCTCTCTTCCACGACTTCCCTATGTTAAGGATACCTACAAATTACCGCACAGATTAATAGAAAAGAAAAGAAGGGACCGAATTAATGAATGCATTGCTCAACTGAAAGATTTACTCCCTGAACATCTGAAATTGACAGTAAGATGCACATTTTCATGCTTTGCTGCTCTCCAAGGGTGGGTTAATAGCCTGGTAGATCTCCCAGAGATAGAAAAATAAATGTAAATTTAGACGCCTGGCTTACAACTTATAGTATACGGAGTTCCCACAAACTCAGAGGTGCTCACAGCTGAAGGCAAGAAATCATTTATATCTGTCTTGTGGAAAGCTAGAAGTAGTGTAGGAACAGTAGTACTTCTTACAGTGTTTGCATAAGTTGCTTTGCTGAATGGAGAGTCAATCAAGCCAAATATGTGTTAAGTAAACAAGTACCCCTTCTTCTTTTGCATCATTTGCAGACTCTGGGGCATCTGGAGAAAGCAGTAGTCTTGGAATTAACTTTGAAACACTTAAAAGCTTTAACAGCCTTAACAGAGCAGCAGCATCAGAAGATAATTGCTTTACAGAATGGTAAGTCAGTTCAGGGAGGCCAGCCCATCCTGATGAAGCAGGACGGCCCACAGAGGAGCAATGTTAGAACCAACTTCCCCCCACCCCCACCCCCTTCCGTGAGCCCACGATCTCATTCTCATTTGTTCAGCTGCGTTCCCTTCATTGGAAAATGCCCATTTTCCTGAAACATCCTGAAGACTTTAAGCAGAACTAGGAGGAATCAGATTTTTATTTAAAGTGGCGGTCGCACCCTTGCCACTTTGGTTTTTCAGTTGGCAGTAGAGCGCCCCCTGCTACCCACCCCCGCTACCCCCCTTCTCTAGGCAACCAGTGGATTATATCACTCGATTACAGAGGAAAACCGAGCTCACTGTAGTCAATGCAGGGTCCACGTGATAAGCAGATGTTTTAACGTCGGTATTTTCCTTCTCTTCTTGCCTTCATTCCTCCGCGCCTCCCTCCCTTTTCTCACCCTAGGGGAGCGATCTCTGAAATCGCCTATTCAGTCCGACTTGGATGCTTTCCACTCGGGATTTCAAACATGCGCCAAAGAAGTCTTGCAATACCTCTCCCGGTTTGAGAGCTGGACGCCCAGGGAGCCGCGATGTGTCCAGCTGATCAACCACTTGCACGCCGTGGCCACCCAATTCTTGCCCACCCCCCAGCTATTGACTCAACAGGTCCCACTGAGCAAAAACACCGGCGCGCCCGCCACCACCGGTTCTGCGGCAGCCCCCTGCCTGGAACGCGTAGGGCAGAAGCTGGAGCCCCTCGCCCACTGCGTGCCGGTCATCCAGAGGACTCAGCCCAGCGCCGAGCTCGCTGCCGAGAACGACACGGACACTGACAGCGGCTACGGCGGCGAGGCTGAGGCCCGGCCGGATCGCGAGAAGGGCAAAGGCGCAGGCACCAGCCGCGTCACCATCAAGCAGGAGCCCCCTGGGGAGGATTCTCCGGCGCCCAAGAGGATGAAGCTGGATTCTCGTGGCGGCGGCCCAGGAGGCGGTGCAGCGGCGGCGGCAGCCGCGCTCCTGGGGCCCGACCCGGCCGCGGCGGCCGCGCTGCTGAGACCCGACGCCGCCCTGCTCAGCTCGCTCGTGGCGTTCGGCGGAGGCGGGGGCGCGCCCTTCGCGCAGCCCGCCGCCGCCGCCCCCTTCTGCCTGCCTTTCTACTTCCTTTCACCCTCGGCCGCGGCTGCTTACATGCAACCCTTCCTGGACAAGAGCGGCCTGGAGAAGTACCTGTACCCGGCGGCCACCGCCCCGTTCCCGCTGCTGTACCCCGGCATCCCCGCCCCGGCGGCTACTGCTGCTGCTGCTGCCGCCGCCGCCGCCGCTGCTGCCGCCTTCCCCTGTCTGTCCTCTGTGCTTTCGCCCCCTCCGGAGAAGGCGGGCTCCGCCGCCGCGACCCTCCTGCCACACGAGGCGCTGCACCCACACGGTCGCACCCACCTGCCCTTCGCCGTCCCCCGCGAGTCGGGGAACCCGGAGAGCTCCGCTCAGGAAGATCCCTCGCAGCCAGGAAAGGAAAGCCCCTGAATCGTTGTACCCTGTTCTTAGAAAGGACAAGGTCAAGGGGAACCATATTAATAATATTAAATTAAAAAGCCCTTAACAGTTTAAGGGAAGAAGTGTAATAGATGCACGACAGTCTTAAAAAAAACCAACACAAAAACAAAGGGGTTTTTTTTGTACATTGGAGTTTGTGTTGCTCATCCTCACCACCTCACCTTCCATACACTAACACCCCTTCCATTCCCTTGCCAGCTGTAAAAGATCTTCTGCAATACACACTTTTTTTTTTTTCTTTAAAGAATGCCCTCAAAATAAGTTTTACCTCCCTTTAGGTCATGTTCTATTACCTTTAAAAATTAGAACCTAATCTAGAGGAAGTCCTCTGAATGTCCTCTGTGGATGAGCTCATTGAACCAGGGTAGGGAAAAGGTGTTTAGAGGCTTGAGAACAGCAGGGAATTATTATCTGCCTATCTCTTAAAACTGCCCTGCCTGTTTTAGGGGGTTTTCCACACACTGAGTGAAGATCTTTTAGAATTAAATTTACTCTTCAGTATTTTATAATGTTCAGCTTTTTCTATAAAGCATATTTTTTCAAAGAGGGAGAAATGAGGGTGCATGCAGTTGCTTAGATTGCAACCTATTCCGAAGTGGGTTAAATGGTATCTTAATAAATTGCACTTGCGAAGAGACACAGAGTTGGGCCATTGTCAAAAGCAAGTCAGGAAATGAGGTGGAGGAAGAAGACCAGACTCTTTCTAAATTTGCTAGGATTTTTGTGAGAAATGGACCATGACTCAATTGACTCATCTTAATTTCTTCCTAGTTGTAATATGTGTATACATATGTATACACATACAGTTGTATGTATATGCACATACACATCATGTATCAAGTGCATCTATTCCCACCCTGTCATTATTTAATTCATTGTGTTCTTAAGTTTTTGTAATATTGCTGTAAAAAAATGAATGTGCACTGAACTTAACAAAAACAAAACGATAAAACAAGTTCAAATGGATTTATCCTATATTCTTGTAAGTCACAGATATGGAAGAAAGAGTTAAACTGGTCGGTTTTGATTGAAAATGTTGCAAAGATGTGGGATAAAGCCCTCTGAGGCCTTATATCTCTGAGTCTGTATTTTCTGGAGACCAAACCAGATACCAGATAATCACAAAGAACGATTTGGGTTTTTGTTGGTTTGTGGTTTTTTTTTTTTAAAAAAAAATAATAATAATAAGGCTTAAACCAAGACCTTCTGTAGATATTTTTAGTTTGTTGCCAAGGTAGCACTGTGAGAAATCTCACTTGAATGTTATGTAAGGGGTGAGACACAACAGTCTGACTATGAGTGAAGAAAATATCTGGGTCTTTTAGTCAGTTTGGTGCATTTGCTGCTGCTGTTGCTACTGTTTGCCTCAAACGCTGTGTTTCAACAACGTTAAACTCTTAGCCTACAAGGTGGCTCTTATGTACATAGTTGTTAATACATCCAATTAATGATGTCTGACATGCTATTTTTGTAGGGAGAAAATGATAATGCTAATGATATTTTGAGTTAAAATATCTTTGGGGGAAGATTTGCTGAAAAGTTGCACTTTTGTTACAATGCTTATGCTTGGTACAAGCTTATGCTGTCTTAAATTATTAAAAAAAATAAATATTGTCTGCAAGAAACCAGCTGGTTTAGAAAAGTTTAGTATGTGATGACAAACTAGAAATTATATTCTAGTATTTTCAGCACTCCACAGATTCTATTACCTAAATATTTCCACACTATTTTGTGATTTAAAAGTTCTTACTAAGGAATAAAAAGTTTAATATGTGACATGAGATTGTCTAATAATTAAAAAGACATAATGGATACTCAATTAGTTTTAAGATAGCTGTGCCTATACAGATGAAAGTCATTACAGTTTTTAGGTATACAACTTTGTCATTGACTTTCTAGCACATGTTTACAATCTTTTCTTACACACTTCCAATCTTGTCTTTGACTATCTGCTTGTTCCCAGTATTTTCTAATTGAAAAATTCAAGAGAGTAAAAGAAAATCAGTCACTTGTGTAGTTTGTTGATGTCAGATCAAATTTACTCACATTTTTATGATTGATGAAGTTTTCACTTTTCATTTATGACATTGAGTAGTGTGTGCTATATAATTTGTTGTTTCTCTTCCCCTGGGTCCTATATAAAAACCATACCACATAACCAAAACACCCGTAATGCCATTGAGTCTATACTGAGTCATAGCGGCCCTATAGGACAGAGTAGATGTGCCCCATAGAGTTTCTAAAGCTGTAAATATTTATACAGGCAGACTGCCTCATCTTTGTTCCTCAGAGTGCCTGGTGGGTTTAAGTCATAGACCTTTGGTTAGCAACTGAGCCCTTTAATCACTGACCCCTGGTTCCTGGTGCTTAATTTCTGAGTATATTTTAGCTCCTTAACATTTATCAAACCACTGTGTCAAGGAACTTTTAAGTGGAATTTAAGAAACAAATAGTAAATTCTAGGTTATTTTCACAAAATTATCACCGAATTTGTGATTTCATGCTAACTGAAGGATTCAGAGTTTTTAATTTCTGTAATCTTCACAAAGTCCTTATTTTATTGTGGAAAGGGGGAAAAGGCACCTCTTGGGATGTGCTCTTGGAAGGGGATGTGCTCTTGGAAGGTGTTTTAATGATTAAGTCAACATTTATTTGAGATGTAGAAAAGGGCTCCCTCTGCTGACTTCATGGCATGCAAACTGCAAGTCATAGGCTATGGAACAGGAAATAATTTAACAGATAAACTCCTCTGGACCATTATATTTTATATTGTTGTTATTAGGTGCCATTGAGTCAGCTCTGTCTCATAACAACCCTATGTAAAACAGATTGAAACTTTAACTGATCCTGTGCCATGCTAATAATATCTGCTGTGCTTAAACTCACTCCTGCAGTCTCTGTGTCAATCTGTTTCAGTAAGGGTCTCCATTTCCTTAACTGATCCACTAATGTAAGCATGATATAATGAAACCCAGAGATATATTCTTAAAGTCACAGCCAGCACGGGTCAGGTATCCTGAATTCCTTGATAAGCCTCCCATTATAGCATCTTGGACCAAATAAACAATCTGGGCAACACTCATGAATCTACAGGGCTGAGCCAGAGATTAGAAAGTTATGAAGAATTTTTGGGTGTTGCAAGTTACTGAACACTAGGAAAATATAGCTTTAAACTGACTAATCAGAAAAATTACCATTTCAGTTATTTTGAGCTACAAAATTTTAATGATGTAATTAGACTAGTTTGATAAGTAAAGCAGAGTATAAAAAAATTGTTTTTCAAATTCTGGTACAAAAAAACCCCCCTCTTAGAATTTGCACTGATTTTATATGTCAGTTATTTAGTCCAAATGACCATGCACTCACATGATAAATAGTGAGGCAAGAACTGCAAACAATTGTCAGTATCACTTCTGAAAAATATTTTGGTAATTAGTTTATTCTACTGAGCTAAAAAAACTGGAGTTAGAATAAGACGGCTTCAATACCTGCAGTAGTGGAGTTGCCGCTAAAATACTTCACAGTATATATAATTTTACTAATTTAAGACAAATATGAATCTTGAGCCAATAATGCTTTTATAAGTATAGTATTATACCTACTAATTTTACATGCTTAAACGTCTTGGTGAACTTTATATTGAATTTGTAAGTGACCTTTTTCCTCAAAGAGCTATACCTAAGTACATTCTTAAGACACTAACCCAGATTTTTTAATCCACCAGGTGTTCTGCAGGCTCCGGTGTGGTTTACGGTCTCTGAAAACCTGCTGGAGGGTCAGCTATGCGGTGATTCCAACTTGCCAGCACACAACAAGCAGCTAGATTTTACTAGCTAGATAAATCATTTTCGTTTCTATCATTGTGAAAATTATTTTTCATCTCATCCCATGTTACTGGTCATACAAACCATCATAGCTTTGGAGAGAAGTTACAACCGAGTCTTGTCCATATCACAGGTCAGCTACGAGTCCCTCAGGAGAGGTGACTGCTGACTGTGAACTATGGCAAAAAATGACCAGGCAAACAAGTTAAAGCCTTTTAGACAGAGATTAACTGGGTTCTGAATGACTAAGACCATTATAATGCCAAAAACAGACTGGGGTTTTTTTTGTGATCATGCGATTTACCTTCAGATAGTAATCAAATGGTTTTTTTATAAAACAAAAATTCTTAATCAATTGGACGTTCAGATAGATAGATTTAAATCCACATGTTGGTCTCACTGTGTCACTTTAATTCCAAGTGGTCTTTATAATACTTGCTACAGTGCATGGTAACTTCCAGTTTTGAGAAGTTAAACAGGTAATTGAATTAGGAAATGATTACCTACATTTCATAGTTAAGACAGATTTATACTAAAAACATGCAATATTTACCTTTCTGGGAATTATGAATTTGTTTTCAAAATGAGTTTTTTGTGCTTGTTTAGAAAGTCCTTATTAAAAAAATCCCCCCCAAGATGCAAAACTATACATTTTTTAAAAAGTTATTATTTTAAATTCTGTCTGATAATAAATTTACCAATTCTTAATTTACCTGGATTCAGGAAATACTCTACATGGCCCATGAAACAGTATTTTATGTATATATAAATTTGTTAGTGGAAAGCTTACTAAAATATGTTATTCATGTCCCCCCTAAAGTGTCTTACATGTGGCTTAAAAAAACCAAAATGCCCTATGCATATTCAACCTTTCCAAAAAAATTTGCATTATTATTACTAAACATCACTTTTGCACTATTCATGTCCTCTGGGAGTATCTGCACCTGCAGTGAATTCTTCTTGAGTTCTTATATCTGCTTTTTATAGATTTCCAAGTGTCTTTACTCATGGTCAGCCTGTCAGCTGTCACTTCTTGATGTGTCAGAGTGTCTGCCTCCAACTCTTTTCTAATTTGCTATCTCTGACTTATTGTGGGCTGGGAAAGCATTTAAACAAAACCACACCCATTAGAAATATATCTAAAAT